TTTGTTTTGTACTTTAAAGTTCATTAGCAAGTTTTCTAGTAAATGTAAAAGTGGATAAAATACTACAGTATGGTAATTTATATGGCCCACCATCCAGCTTTAACAGTGGTCAGTATAAGGTCAATCTTGTCTTATCTGCATGTCTACCTTTTTGCCTTGGAATTACATTGAAGCAAATTCTAAACCTGTGATTTCACATGTAAATATTTCATATGTTAAAGATATAAGAACATTTTATAAACTTAATTCCAATATCAGCACTGTACAAATTAACAGTTGTTAAATATCAAATGTTGAGATTCACGTAACGTCTATGCCTTGAGGTTGGTTGATACATCACTTAGGTTTTTGGCTCATAGCTCTCTCTTTTACTTTGTTCTTGCCATTTTGGTCATTGTTGTGTTGTTTGTTTGTTTTTATTTTTCTAAGACAGGGCTATGTAGTTAAGGCTGGCCTTGAACTCCTTGTGTAGCCCAAGCTGGCCTTGAACTCATGGTAACCCTCCCTGCCTCAGTCCTGAGTGCTGGGATTTTAGCACCACCATGTCCAGCTATTGTCATGTTGAAGAAGCTGGATCATGTATCTTATATAATTCCTATGATCTGGGTTTTGCTTATAAACTGTTTTTTTTTTTAAGGAAAGAAGACTAAAATAAGTACACTATTTTTTGAAAAGTATTACTTGTATGCAAATATTTATTTTATGCTGAAAACAACCTAGCATGGAGTTTAAAACTTGATTCATTAGAAAAATCTAGGCATCGGGTGAATTCTTTATATTTTTTTCCTGCTCTCTGTTGGAAGATATCTTGGCAGATTACATGCCGTGGTGTCACTTAACCTGATACTGAAATGCACCCCGGCCAGCCGGAATTCACCAGCCATTTCTCATCAGTAACACCAGTTATTTTAGGCAGAGAATTAGAAGGGCAGTTTTTCCCGTTGAATCTGCAGTGGGAAGCTGGAAATGTATGCCTCAAATGCTTTGGCCTCAACCTTTCTTGCTCCTTATTTGCCATAAGGAACATTGTTTGGAGGACTGTTTATTCCAGTGGAAATAGGATCACAGCATCATCTGGGTTGGAAGGCTCCCTGAGGTCACCTGGACCCATCTGGCAACATTTATGCAGGATTCCAGCATTGTTCCCAGAGTGCTCATGGATAGAACCCTTTAGCATTCTACTTTCTCTTCTGTCCTGCAGTGAAATAGATTATTAAATTCCCTCTCTTTCTGCTGTGTACACATACATGTGTCTGCACAGGTCTTTCATTAAGATCAGACTT